TCGGATGGGACATGAATAGGACGGTTGTCCGGACTGGAGACAACTATCACGATACCATAAGCTGTTGTCCGCAATATTTTATGTACCATAAAAAATGAATATCCGGGTAAGATCACTCTACAGTGTATGAAGGTCACCGCCAAAGTGTAACCTGAGATGACGGCTAATAAGAAATTAGTTTACGTGTGCATTTTCTTCAAAGGTGATACATTATCTGAAATGATAATTAAGCGACGCCAGACTACTGTCAGAAATACATACTATACAGCTGATGTACGCATCATTTACACTTCCAAACCAGTTCTCTCATTGCAGGTGAAAGACAAGTTACCGGTGAAAATGACCTCATTCTGCATTTACCAATTCGTGTTTTACTGTGGAACCAATTACATAGGTCATACCCCCCGCCGCTTGGCCGAAGGCATTCGAGAACACCATCACAGCTGGCTTAGTTGCGAATTGACGAGGCCCGAGGGGACGGCGATCACGGTTCATTTGGTCGAAACCCAGGATCATGTCAGATTGAGTGAAGCAGTCGGGCCAATCTACGTGAACACTAGGGTGAGATGGAAGCTAGTCAAGCATCGCTTATTGTCAACAGCCGAAGCGATTTGGTTAAACAATCCTCCCTTGTGCGTTCAAAAACAGTCGGTCAGAGCTCTGGATTTATCATGGCCAGCTACAAACGCTAGAGTGACATAAAACCAGTTATTAAATGAGCGTCAAATCGCTCATGTATTTGATTCATTCAACAGTAAAAATGACATTTGCGGAATGATGTGAACTATCATACACCTCTTTACTGTATTATCCATAGTATCCATATATACGCATACAAACACAGACATTATTTACGCTAATTCTATTTCCTTGAATTATGTGATTGTGTGACCTATACAAGTGTGCTGTATTTGGCTAGCAAATTAAGCACCGAAAACGAGCTGGTTTGTCAAATTGATTTGTTAATAACTCTTGTGTTGGCGTTTTCTTCGAGAAGCCCCAGTTTACGACCGATAGTTTTCACGTGATACCCGGGGTAGATAGGTACAAACTTCTTTTTTGTGGGTAAATAACGATCTCTTCGTCTGTTATTGCAACATTTTGGCTCATAAGACCGCCTTTGAACCTCATAAAGGGATGCTTTCCTTATGGACGCCAGTCGCTGGACGATTTTCTGGGGACCATGAACTTTCCGAGGGGCGTATGACACCCATGTTCAGCATTTGCTGAGAGTCTGCACATGTGGTGCGTAAATTGTCTGGTGCTAGTCGATGGGATCGTGCGTGGACCGGTGGACCTCGGGTGACAATGTGGTGCGACACCTCCGTCGTGATAGGTGGTAGCTCGGTGCTGGGGCGGACGAGGCTAGGGAACTCGCAGAATAACGATGAATATGACGAATCATCGTGTGGAAAAGGGAGGTGTGTATTCGCGTTGCCGAAGATATTAGGGAACCGATGACTACTATAGAATTGACTGAGTCTCTAATCTGTCGCTTACAAGGATCTACGACTAGACCGTGGTGCTGTAAAACGTCTAGGCGTAAGGAACCCGAGCGATCAAGAAAATCCAAGGTAGGACGCACCTTAAACCTTGGTCCAAGTTCAGTAGCGCCCGTCCATGGGTTTGGATAGGGGTACCGTTGGTTGCCTGCAAAGTGAGCGCTGCTGGGAGCTATCATAGATAAAAAGGAGGCGATGAGAGGTGGGAGAGCCGGTTGAGGTAGTCGCCGTGACCTGCCGGCCTACTATTTTCCCTGCTGGTTTTTGAACGAACATGGCAGTTCGTACTTCCTAGCTTCATTGCCGAAGCGTTTGTGGTAATAGCACAGACCGCCCCTAGAAGGCGTATGTCAAAGACCGTTACTGGACCGGGATCGGCTACGGGTCGTGCGGGTAGTCTGCAGATTGTTGATGGTGGTCTGCATAGTGGCCATAGATAAGTGAAGGTCGGCCAACTGCTTAGAAAAAAGCTGCACTTCTGTCATGGGCTCGTAGAGGAGCTTACCGGGAGTAGGGTTGGGGAGCGTCTGTCGAACGCTGGTTGGCTCCGGGCTCCCGATGTTTGCCAATGAGGGCTGGAAAAGTTAAGCTTGCACCATGGCTCGGTCAGTAGCCTCAGCTAGTTGGTCTGGGCTATGGGCATGTGCGAAAACGTTCAGAATACTCTGGACGTACGGTGGAAGCCGCTGAAGCCAAATCTGACGTAGTACGGAGTAGTCCAGTGTGGGGTTGCCGACTAACGCAGGCATTTTACGCGGCAACTGGGACGGCCTAAGATTTCCCAATTGGATCCGTAACAGGCGAATCTGAATGCGTTTCTCTTCTGAAACTGCCATACGACGAAGAAGTGCTTCCTTGAGCACCTCGTACGGGTTATGCGCGGGGATATTCATGTAGATATCCCTGAAGTTGCCTAGCAAATCACGCGGAATTGCGGACAACAGTTTATGGTATCGTGATAGTTGTCTCCAGTCCGGACAACCGTCCTATTCATGTCCCATCCGAGTCATATTCGAACTGAACGCATAACCCCAAGTAGTCAACGTTTTGGCAACAAGACTAAATTGAGAGGATCACGAACACCTAATCAACTGCACGCAGTGTTGGAAGCTGCTATCATCCGCCGACAACAAAACAAACTGGACGCTTGATTGGTAAGAGCCATATTCGTCCTGTGGAAACTGAACTGAACTGAGTTCGTTTGCACCCAAAACGGGACTCCAATGGGACTCCTATGGGACTCCCATGGGACCCGGATAGGACTCAGATAGGGCTCGAGTGGGACTCTATAGGACGGCTCCCAAAACGGCTTCTTAACATTCTATTAAGCGTTGCTTACATTTCGCCCAGCTCACGCATGCTCACTTACGACTAGGACTAAACAACACTTGAAAAAAACTGCGTGATATATCTAAACGCAATCCCTGCCAGCGTTAGCCTATTATGCATCATCCTAATTGATGAATAGCGAAATCTACGTATGATATATTTATATATATATATATATATGTTTGGGTTGTGAGAAGTAATTTAAAGGGCACGTTTAAATATGTATTCGACAAGAAAGTTGTACAAATTTTATTCAGTGGCGTCAGACAAACCTTCGGGTTGGTTTGCCTTGTTGTACTCACTTGTGTTTCTTTTCCCTGGCCTTCCGAATCTATCTTTGTATTTGCTCACGTACTTTGACGTGAGTTTCACCCGGGAAGTTATTTTTCATAGTGTAATCTTCTTATTGGTACACAGTTAGACAATACAGCACGACATTGTAGATCACTTACATGCATTTCAGCCTCATATATGACAGCGTCAAAAATAATTTATATCTAATAAAAATAGAACTTAGAGTCATCAGACTCTTTTGCGAACTGCACTTCACCATTACTAGCGTTTATAGACAGTAAAACATCTTCGTGGGAAACCAATTGGTTCACCGTCAAAAATGACACACGAAGTGATAATTATTGCCCATAAAACTAACCGAAATGATTTACGGGTGATCCATTTCCACACTCTACAGTATGTAGGGACACTGCTTGTTCAATACCTAATAAAACGTTGTTCGGTAAATTTGCTTTACCACGTCTTCGTATTGACTACCAAAAATAATCACGGTGATTGAAATCTGACATGGCGAATAATGACGAGCGCCGCTGAACATACCCATGTGAAATTAGTTTATTTAAACAAAATTGGAGCTGACGAAACTAGTACTGAAATACACAATTTAATTGGTTTTTAGTATTTATTGTATCAGTTCAGTATTTTATTTGGTTCATTTTTCGTATTACATAAAAGTAACCATGTACAGTCCCGACGGGACTCAAATAGGACTCCAATGGGACGGTGGTTAACGGAGGAGTTCCGGAGGGAATCTAAAAGGACGGGCAACCGTCCAGCTGTGCGGACAGGCTCCGGTGATGCGGGCTTCGTGGAATCGCGATTCCATAATTGCGAGAAACGAATCCGGATCCTCTGGCATGAAAACGGGTGCTCTGAATGGGGCCCAAAGAGCTTCGGTGCCGACGGCATATTTACGCTCGGGACTAGTCATTGTTAACCGTTATGATATATGAGATTTCAGAAACGATGGTAAAAATGACAACATCGCGCCTACGAGAAACAAATACGTTGGGAATTAGAAAAAAGCGAAATCGGATCGTACATGACCGTTAAAACCCAATCTAGAAATAAATATAATCTAAAATTATGTGAACGAGAGCGGATCCGTAAGACTACATATGCGGATAATTCCTCATAACCATGCGAGACCATAAGCTCTATTTTAGCAGAACAGCTTCTCACGCAATATGATTTGTCGCCCTTAGTCACCCAAGTGCACGATTGCCACCGTATTGTCGATAACAAACTTGGTCACGACGAACGTGTTAAATAAAAAACGTGTAATAGCATTTTATTCAGGAATAACGTAATCAAAAACACTGCGTCTTATCTGGAATTCCTCCATGTGTGTATTATCGGGATGAATCCCCAACTGTCCTCATCCGGGAGCAGAAGGCCCTTGCACTGTATTACTCTCCTGGTGATGGTGTAGTACTGACTAAGCGCATCACTGCACTGAAAAATGTTGATTTGGGTGGACGGCAGCGGTTTTGAGGAGTATTCTAGATCAACGGTAAACGATGAAATGAAAAGATTGCCATCGGTGATTTGTTCGATAACCGACGGACGGTTTGTTCACCACAACTGCGTTATCAGGGAAGGTTTCCGTGTAGACGGTCCCTTCAATGATAGTTTTAGTAACATTCCGTGATATACGTCGTATCCGCTGGCTTCCGGTATTATTCAATAAAAGAACTGGATAATACAAACGTGCATCCGCGGCTCTCTCGCGCATTCTGCGGAACACTTGTTGTGCAGGCGCCTTCTTGGAGGATATTGTTCGTCGAATTATTTGCATACAAAATGCATACGGGAACGCGGAAAACAAATTTAGAGGTCCGCATCCACGAACACTCTGGGATAAGTGAATCCATGAATGAACGTTAAAAATGGCCTCCTGTTCACCGTAAAAATGTATGAAGTGTTTGACGATTTTCCATCTGTGTTCATACTACTTCTGGGAACTCATCAAACATGTGAACACCGATAAGTGTAAGAAATTTCTATACATATCTTCTGGTGGTATGCCTCGCAGCACAACCGGACCGATTTACAATAGAAATTGTCTGAACTCAGTTGGCTTACACATTTCATCTTCAGAAAGTGGTCGTTTACTACAGCTGCTGTCATTGTAGTTGCAAAGGTGTTATCGAAAATAGGCGCCTATATTTTTCTTCAACCAAAGGGCGCCTAAGGTCGGATGCAGATTTACGTTCACGCTGCCCGGAGGAGCATCACGTTGGTGAATCAACATTTGAGGCTCTGAATATTGATATGGTTAACCAGTTCCCCAGCGGCTACATGCAAGCTGTCTGCATGGGGCTAATGAAAAAACTGATCACAATACGGAGACATGGTAGTGTCCAAAAGCGCATTACGATCTCTCGGTCACTGCTCAGTGTAAGAACTAGGTTATCCGTACCCCGGGCTAATACGTATAAGTCGGAAACGTACATTCGTATGAGGAGAGAATGGCGAGATTCACACGGAGGACGACGTGTATTATAAAGACCTGCAGAGCAAGAGAGAGATACAGAGGCGTGAGTAAGCGTGCAAAAAGTGAAAGCAAACACGTGCTGACCGAAGAGGTGGCCTTGGTGTGATAAAAGAATGAGATGCACAGGAGGAAATGTACATTGAGAACTGGATGTGATTGGTTACTACAGGGCTCCCTCCCTAGAAAGCTAGAGAGGGCCTTCGATAAGGGTGCATGCATTGTTTGTAGGGTGTGCAAATCCCCCAAAAAGTTAGTTTTGGTCATTACCGTGAAAGTATGGGTACCAGTTCCAGGTGATGTA